GTTTTGAACTTTTAAAATATTGCATGGTAAAAACAGAAGCTGCACTTCATATTAGTGACAAACTTTGGTGTTTTACCTTCATTTTTGCTTCTACTTTTCATTTAAAATAAGTTTCTATTCTCGGCAGGTTTCTAAGGTTCTTGTTCTACATATTAAAAATGTTGTTAAACAACTGAGTGGCGCACTACTGCTACTAGTGGTGAGAAAGTGTATTGCAGTGGTCCCACGGCCCTCTGCGGCCCAAAGTTAAAAACTGTTGTTCTTTTGAGGCCCTCAAGGTGGCGCTCGCAGCCCACAATTAGTGAGACCACTGCACCACAGCAAAGATTAAACTGTGTCCCACTCCAAACTTCCACATGTTGTCAAACCCTGAACCCTCAGCCTCAGCTGGGACCTCCCACTTCAGGTAGGACGGAGGCAGTCGGGAGGATGCAGGGCTTGTTTAGTGGGTAGAGTGTGAGTCAGGCAGTGGGGTGACCCACATCAAAAAGACAAACTGTGGAACGATGAGGAACAGAAAGGCGAGTTACCCAGACAGTGGGAGGTGCACCCCACACAAGAGTCCAGAGTGATGATGACTTGTACTAAATGTCACGCAGCATGGGACAACCTATTTAATGATTTCAGGGAAAATCTTTTTCTTTCCTTTACAAAAATTATCTGGGACACAACAGGAGGGTTACAAACATAATTTTGCTTCTTTTTTTAATGTATTCCTTCTCAACTGTCTTTTAGTTTGTAATTCCTCTACTTGACTAGAAGGTTGTGTTTATTGTGATTTCGATTGTACCTCTCCAACCTGTTTGTTACTGTTAATGTGATGACGTGCTTTTAGCGCCCTCTGCTGTCCTCTGTGTGTCCCTGCTGGCAGCAGATGATGAGAAGTAAAGGATACTTTGTTCGGTTCTCGCTGCAGTCACGTTCCCTCTACTTCTTCTTTCTGTGTTTGTGTTCCTCTGTCCTCACTTCATGCTTGTGCACTAGGTTGGCTTCTTTTCTCACCTCTCATTAATCCATCATGTTAAACTTCACCACTTTGAAAAAGAAAAAAAAAATGAGAGAGGGCCTTATTTGTGGCACAGCAGTGTTTTCGGTACAGCCACATGTTTCAGGGAGGGTCTTAGCCTCTTTTCCTCACGTGGTGAAGTCTGACAGAATAAAACATGGTTGTAAAATGAAGGTAAAGTGTTTTATTATTGAAACGAAAAGGAACGGCTGTGATATTCTCCTGATGCTGACTTTTGCCTGTTGTCTCTTTCTCTCTCCTGCCCTGTGTCGTTTCTCTCTGCCCCCCCTCCTCCATGAAGCTTTCTCTCAAGCTGGTAAGCATGATCGTGAAACTGCATGAGCGTAGAGGCATGACCACAACACGCATGTCACCTCCTCCCCCGTAACATGTTAATAACATTCTGTGCTCCTCTATGTTTTGTTGGTATATATTTATATATATGTTTGGTTGCTGTGGATTTGAGTTTGATTTTATTTTATAAAACTGACAGGGACACATGAGTGGACCTGAGACTCGTGTCCCTGTCTCATTTGTGTTGTTTGTTTTGTTTTGGGTGTGTTTTTGTCCCGTTTCACCCAAACTGTGTCTGTGGTCTTTGTGGTGCAGATCACACTCAATTTCCACGTCCGGAGTCTGATTGAGGTGATCGTATTTACTCTACGTTTTACCTGTTTTGTCCGTCATGTAGACTCGTCTGTCTCGATAAACTGAACGTCTTTGTAACAAATACTAATCTGACTCAGCCTCTGCATGCTGTTATGTTCGTATTTTGCAACACTAACCTGATAGACATGCATGACAGCAGGAGTCCACAAAAAAAATCACCTAAAATGGAAGTTTTATTTAAATAAAATGCACTTTATGGATTAAAGGAACAGTTTTGGGAAAAATTCATATATTTTTATCTTTTTTTTATTCATGACACAAGTCTTCTTTTTGACCTTTGAAGAAATGCATCACCTGCCTTTATTCATGGCAGAGTTCACATTGAGAAATACTAGTTTTAGATATTTTGAAACAACCTTGAAAACAAGGTCCAGTCTGATGTTATGAACTGGATTGACTGTAAATGATTTAAAAAAAAGTAGTCGAGACCGGGGACAGTTGCAACACTTTTTGCATATGACTCTGTTACTCAGAGCTGATTTGAATTAGACAAACCAAACTTTAATACAATAAACTTACATCTGTCTGTTAATAGTTAAAACTATTTATAGATGATTAAAGCATGTACATTCGTCACAATTTGCATTTGAAAATGAAAAGTCAGATGTTGCAACTGACCCCGGGGCTGGGGACAGTTGCAACATATTGTTAATACAATAAATTTCACTGTAAATAAAAGTTTTATTATTTTTATATTTATATTATTGCTAAATTAATAAAAACTGTAAGTTTTGATGATATTACTGTGTTATTTATTTATTATTTTTGATCTAATGATGAATATAGATCTAGCTATAGAGCACCTTATATACAGATGTCAGAGACTCTAATTGATATAAAATACAGTTGACTTTTAGAGACAAGAATAACAGAACAATTTGTGAGGCAATTAACTTTTGTTTTACCTATTGTCACTGTACGCCTACATTATGTAACATTTACATTGAAAGAAACTGGGATTTTAAAACCATTGTTGAAAACAACAACTGTAGAAAAAACATCTTAAACATGTTTTAAACTATATAATTGTCATGAATACCCAATACCTTTTTAAGTGTAAACTTAATTTGAACATCTTAATATCATCTGTATGTGCTCTGTTTTTATATGGATTTATCATATGGGGACAGTTACAACAACTGTTACAACTGTCCCCCTTCCTGTCAGCCATGATAAAACCTCATGTGTTAGCTACATAAGCTGATCTGGATACATGTTAAATACATTAGTTAAAAGTTAACATATCACTTGTTTAAACCATATAAGTTTGAGCTGGATCACAAAAACAGTGACAACAAAAATACAGCTAAGCAAAAAAAAAAACATAGACTTTGGTTCCTCAAAAACAGTTTTCTTTTTTCAAATAAATCCTGGAGCAGTTTTTGAATCTGTTTACTTTTTCTCTGCAAGGTGGGGCATCTAACTGAGCATGTACAGTGTGAGTGTCATCATTCTAGCTTGTTTCTGTTTGGAGAAAAATGACCTGTTGCAACCGTCCCTTGTTGCTACTGTCCCCGGTCTCCCCTAATAGACGTATATCCAAAAATTACTTTTGAGTATTTAAAATTTGCAGAGTTGTTCGTGGGATATTTTGCTAACAAACAGGGTTGACAACATTAGTTAACGTCGAGCTTTTCAATGACTCTCAGCTCCTACCACCTTCAGCTGAAAATCTGCAAAACTCACTGACTTGTAGACAACTTACTGTTGGCTACATTTAAGCTGCTTCGGCGGCCATCTTGAAAGCTTGAAAGCTAAAATGTTATGGTTGCAGATGTACAGTCAAAAGTGATTTTCTACGAGTTTCAATAAAATCCGTCCAGTAGTTAATGAGATATTTTGCTTGTAGACAAACACATTTTGTTCCTTTAGTGTCAGGTGATAAGAACACATTTATAATTCATAACTTTGTCACGTAAAGTTCCTCAGTGAGCAGTGAGTCACCAATTTAGCGTTTCTGCAGGTCCTCATTTTATTTTCAGAGTTCAGACATGAGAGTCTGTTTTCAGCATAAGAGCTGCCACAGTTATAGTTCATTAAAACAATTAGTCAACACCTGGTGAATCTGGAGAGAACAGTGGATGAACTAATAAAAACACAAGTTTTATTCCTGATGAGCTGAGGTTCCTCACTAACAGACATGGTTTGGGAATGCCAAGATTTTAGTTTCAATAAAAGTTTTAAAGGGATCCCTGATTAGTTGTAACATTAGACTTTATTTAATAAACATATATTTTAACTGTAAAATAAAGACTGTAAAAATACTGTAGGCTGTTTAGATTTTATATAATTTCTAAACTAAAAGTTTAAAAATATATTACACGGACGGGGCCATTTTATTTACACGCAAAGCATTCTGGGTAAATGATGACGTGGATAGGTCATCGGTGCGAGGCTGCTAGCGAGCTATATCCACCCTGAAGGTTAATCTTGGACAATATCTGATGATCGACTCTTTTAAATGAAACCAGAGAGCGTTGACAGAGAGGAGAAGGTAGAAATGACTCAGCCTGSAACTGAAAATATGGATGGAGGACCTCAGTTTAGCTTGTTTGTTGTGCTAGCGCCGAGCTAATACATACAGCACCAGAATGCTTTGCATGTAAATAAAATGTCTCCGTCCGTCTTAAATTATATATTTTTAAAAATTACAAAACTAAACATCCTACAGTATTTTTACAGTCTTTATTTTACAGTTAAAATAGATGTTTATCAAATAAAGTCTAATGTTACAACTAATCGGGGATCCCTTTAATAAAATCCTCCTGATTTAAGTAAATTTACACTTCTGGACTGTAAAAAAAGGGCCTCCTAGTCCCTGACCCTGTCTTTAATTACTACAATGACAGTTTTTATGTTCATCATTTTAACACTCAGTATAGAGAATTAGACTTTGAACTCACCATGACTCATAATGAATTACCATCAGTTGTTTTTATTTTCTGGACACCAAATGAAACACAAAAGGAACAGAATGTGACATCTCGAGACTGAGACAGTTTGGTTTTTACAAGACGAGTGTATTTCCCAGAAATGTAAACTCTTCCTTTAAACTGACCTGAAAGGAAATATTGGTTTTATAGAACTTTGTTTTTTTTCTACCTTTCTGCCTGATTTTAGTGATCAGTTTATTCGTCTGTAGTTTTTCAGTCCAAATCATTCTGCAGTCAACATAACAGTAGTAATAACTAAACGCCTCTCAGTAGATTTAGATTCAAACTCCATCTTAATGATCTGATTTCATTGATTTACATATGAAGAAAATTCCTCAACTCTTCATTTCTGATTGAGAAGCTGGAAGTCCCTGCATGATGACTGACAGATCTGTGTCATTTTGTTGCATGCCTGGTTTAAGTGTTGCATGCCGATGCAGGGAGAAGGTACCCGGCTCCAGTGTGTCCTGAACAGCTGCAGCAGAGGCCTTCACCTCTTCAGTCCTCAGCAATAAAAAAGTCAAACTGTTACCAAAAAACACCACCTTTATCACTCTGATTCAAACATTTTATTTAAAAATAAAACTATTTTTTGCTTTATTGTACGCTGTTTTTAGTTTTTTGATTAAAGGATGTCTTGTGCAGCCAAGACTGCTGTAAAGTCTTTGCCAGGAAGTTGACTTCATCTGACAGAAGTTAATTTTATATTTACTTTTTAAAGCTAAAGAAACTTCATAAAAAATAGGTAGTGAAAAGGGGCCACTATCAATAAATACAACTGAAGAAGTGAAAAGTTAAAGCTATTCATTACAGTACTATAGGTTGCAAAAGTGTTCATCCCCTTGTAATTCTCTATTTTGTCATGACAGCTTGAAATTTTAAATAGGCCCTTTAGGTTGGAGGAATGTTATTGTTACAAGACAAAAATAAACAAAACAAAAATATTCATATAAAATCTGAGCACTCCTCCTGGAAATGCTCCGTCTTCAAGCCCACATACTGTAGCTGAAGCTCCTTTAGGTTGGATGATGCTCGTGTCCAACAATCATTTAAATATAACCATAAATCTGATCTCCCTGTGGACCGAGGTCTTGGGTTTGACTGGACCAGTCCAGGACCTTTAACTGGTTCTCGTTCAACCACTGGAGTGTAGCTTCAGCTGTGTGTTTAGCATCAACTCTGTCCCAGTCTCAGATCTAACAGGTTTCCCTCAGGAATAGCTTTGGTCTGAGTTACTAAAAATAGCTCCCTACACGATATGTGACATCATCAAGTCCCCGGATGTCAAACAAGGAAGTGCATTTGTGCTTTGCTCCATCTGCCTTTCCTTCAACTCTCACCAGTTTCTCAGTCTTGATAACCCACAGCATAATGCTGCCACCTCCATGCATCACTGTGAGGATGGTTTTCTCAGCATGATGAGACCAAACATTGTGTTGTCTTTGATTGGCCAAAAAAAAAAAAAAACAGTTTTAATTTCATTTGACCACATACTGTATTTCAAACACTCTTCCTGTTTTTTCTTCTTTAAAGGGATCCATGATTAGTTGTAACATTAGACTTTATTTGATAAACATATATATTTAACCTTAAAATAAAGACTGTAAAAATACAGTTTTTAGTTTTTATAATTTCTAAACTAAAAGTTAAAAAATATATTACACGGAGGGAGCCATTTTTTTACACGCAAAGCATTCTGGGTAAATTATGACATCAACTAGGTCCTCGGTGCGAGGCTGCTAGCGAGCTATATCCACCCTGAAGGTTAATCTTGGACAATATCTGATG